TGAAAATATACCTACCCCTTCTACTAAAAAGCGTCTATATTTACTATTTGATTTTATGTAATACATAATACTTAATTTTATTGTGATTCAGTTTGATAAATAAATGTATAAAAATTAATGTATTTTTATTTTTTTTCTTCTTCTTCTACATCTTACTACAGTTAAAACTCAAACAAAATAAATTATTTGAAGTTGATACATTTAACAAAATGCAATATTAGTAAAGCAGGAGGTCTAATCAAAACCGAAAAACATGGAAAGTGGTATATGAGACAAAAAAAGTTTGGGAATCTCTGGTTTAAACCATTTTGTTTACACACAGTCACTGGGAATGTATCTAAAAGTTATTATAAACAAGTATTACAAATTAAAAATTTAAAAAAACCGACTTCAAAAACGTGCAGATGCCATCACCACATTTTAACCAAATTTATATGGGACCACCCCTTAGGTACCCCCTTACTAACAAAAAAAGAATCTTATAAATCGGACAAGGTGGTAAAGCATTATCGCTAAACATACATAAAAAATGAAGACTTTGAGGATTTTCTCATGGATCCAACTATTAGATTTTGACCAAATTTATATGGAACCACCCCTAAAGTAGCCCCTTTCTAACAAAAAAAGAATTATTGAAATCGTGCACCGTGTTAAAAAATTATCGCTGAAAATACATAAAAAATGAAGACTTTGAGGATGTTCTCATGGATCCAATTATTAGATTTTGACCAAATTTATATGGGACCACCCCTAAAGTAGCCCCTTTTTAACAAAAAAAGAATCATTGAAATCGGACACCGTGTTAAAGAATAATTTCTGAACATACATAAAAAAAAAAAATATCGCGACGAATTGATAACCTCCTCCTTTTTTGAAGTCGGTTAATAAAGGATTGATTCAAATATAAACAGAATAAAATTGTATTACGACAAACATATACTAGCTTCAAATTTGACGGAAACATGAGATCGACGACACATCCGCCTGGACCATCAGTAATCAGTGTATTTCTTATTTAAATTTTTATTTATACGCGCTAATTTCAAAACTGGAAGAGTCAGTAAAAAATAGTTTATATACAAAAGCGCTAATTTCAAAGATGGAAAAATAAGTAAAAAAAAATAGTATAAACAATAGCTATTTGTATTACTAGGGAGGAAAGTGCCACTTTTCCTCCCGCAGGATGAAGTTTACTGCCCGACGCGAAGCGGAGGGTAGTAAGCATCCAAGAGAGGAAAAGGCACTTTACTCCCAAGTAATACATATGATTTTTCCGCCTCCCTCAAATAACAAGTCATTTTTAAATAATTTATTTATGAAACTAACAAACAAAATTTATTAAAGAACTAAAATTAAGAAGTAGGTACAGTATAAATTATAGGCACGTTATTTTCATTCTTGCATCCTACATATTTTTAATTTGTGGTAGAGTAATTATTTATACTAATGTTAAACGTGCAGTTTTGAGCAGTGATTATTTGAATACCACTAGAAGTGAGAGTTGGAGCCAATGCAGTTTTCATGATATTTTCACAAACATTATTATACAGCTGGTATCCTTCGGAAGTACTTGTACTTGGCTAATTACAATCAATTTCATTAACTTTAGTGACTCCCATAATTTGATTCGAAATTTTTCTCTTTTTTGCAAGAGATTGCTCCACATACCCTTCAGCGATATTCGTAGACTTCCAACCTCCGTGTTGCTTTAAAGCAAGAATGTCTCCTCCAGAGTTTGCAAGTAAACTCCGAGGTTCTTCTGAAAGTATGCCCGGTATAATTTATGGCATTAGGCAGTTTTAAAAATTCTGCAATTTTTTTAGGAATTTTAGCAATAGTATTTTTTCCAACCATTTGGTTGATACATTTTCCTGCTTTATAGCAGACAAATAAACGAGTCTGATCTGTTTTAGGGCGTAGCGATATATATTTTCTATAAATGTCAATATAATTAGGGTGATTCCCCGGTGAAGTATTGATTACAAACGTTCTCTGTATATTTGTTTTAGAATCTGGTATATTTACTATTAAAATTGAACCTTTATCTTCAATATATGTAGTAGCCTTTTTAAGGAGTTAGTCACATCTGCATGCTCCTGAAATTCCGAAAATGAGAAGAACCTACAAAACAAAGATAAACAATTTAAAAAAATAAATTAAAGAAAAAAAAACCGTCGACGTTGGAATTTGAACCAACACCTACAAGCCTATCATGGACAGTGAGCGGTGCACCAACTAATTGCGCTACCGGAATTTACAGGCAACTTTTGCGGAATTCTAAACATAGCGCATTGTTGTAGCTCTATTATAATATTTGCCGTTTAACTTTTATTTTTTAAATATATTTACTTCTTTAAAATATCTTACCTTCATAAATAAATAATTATTATCGGGGGCTTCTACTAAAAATTTATTTACTTCCTCTCTTGAGAAGGTTTTTGCCTCATTAGGTTTATATCCCTGGTTTTGTCTTTTCAAGAAAGCAATTAATTTTGGGTATTTAATATCCACATTTTCTTTTATTTGAAGCATGATACGCAGCCTTGAATACTTGGACCACAATGTAGAGGCTTTTAATGTATTTGCTAATAGCGAAAAATACCCCAAAATAACATTTTCTGAGTAAGTACGAATATGCTTTTCTTCGGCCCATTGCTTGAAATGTAAATACTGTTTTTCGTATTTTTCTTTAGATTTTTGGGGCAATAGAGATTGTACTGTTGCATTAACCTGTTCCAAAATATCCGGTGGTGTATTATTTGTATCTTCAAATTCGCTTAAATCACTCATTTTCTAAATATTATTTTATATTTTGTAGATATATAGGGACCGTGCGTCATGACTTTAACGCTAACTGGTGACAAAAATGTGAACTTTTTGGGGGGTATTTATTAATGTTTTATACGGCATTTATTGTTTAATAATTATTAATAAAATGAAGTCGAATTATTTTCGTAATATCAATATCGAAAAAACTTGTTGCATCCGTGGATGTACAAACACATCACTTTAGAAACCTGGATTTCATTCGATAGTAAAGAAATTTTATAAATTTCCACAGAGCACAATTATGCCTCACACCCAATGATATACATAATTACGAAGATTGCTTATCCATATGTAAATCAGACGACGAAAAGCGTATTTCACTGGGCAAAGTTTTTTTTTTTATCTAGCTTGTATCAATTTTGACCACTTAGTTGTAAAGAAATAATTTACAGAACCGGTTTAGAAATTAGAATCTTTAGTGTTTTCTTGTCATTAAGATTTTTACATATTTAAATGAACATTTTATATAAATATAATTTTACAGATAATGGTTTATTATGTTGATTAAAACTAATGTAGAACGTTATGAAATAAAAATGTCCAATTTGACAAAAATATCACGGCCCTCTTTACAATTTATTAACTATTTCTCATTTATTATTAAAATAAACAAATCATAAATAATACATTGCAATTACTGTCAAAAGAGATTGTAACAAACTTTAAAATATTAAAAATCCAGTGATTTTTGGTAAATTTTTTTAGTGACATTACCATTAAACATTATTCAGAATAATAGATAAGTGTCCAATTACAACTCTTACCAAAGTTGTTCATACCTCATATCAAAATTGTTTACATTACCTTTTCAAAATTGTATTACATATTGCAATTATGTATTTTATGTAGAATTGTTTCTGAAATAGTTGTCTAAAATTATTTATATCCATCTGTTATAAAAATTGTTTAGATCTCTTAATATTATTTAACTATATGAAAACTCGACTTTCCAAATACATACTGACATGTCTTGAAGTAAAACTTTAATTATTATCTTTTTCTAAAGATTAAAATGCTGAAATTTTATTTTAAAACACATTTGGGCTAGAACGGCTCTATTTAGTGAGCACTAGGAAAGGCACATTGCAACCCGCTTTTCATAATTTTTTTATAGTTGGGTGAGCAATCTATAATATATGTATCATTGAACATCTCATAAACGCCAGTGGATGAATGACATTTCGATTAACATGAAGCTAAAAAGATTTATAATTATTATTATCAATCTTTTTTATTAATTTACATTTTTTAAACGTTATTGTAATACTTTTAAATTCAGTGTTACTAAATACCGATATTTTAACATTGGATACACTTGTTTAAGGTACAACTTTACAATTTATTGTCACTTAGCCATTTAAATCTTTTTGCTTAAAATGTATATGCATGTCCAGATTTTAATGATGTTTCACATTTTACGTCATTTTGATCATGTACACGATTATTTGGTACGGGCCGGTATCTATTTTTAACTATATTTAATATTTAAAAAAATACCTTTCATTATTTACTTGCAATGTTTACCCCATTTAATTATAAAATTAAACACTAGAGAGGGCTAAGTTCGGCAGTAGTGCTGCCTCTATATTTCACGCACGGTCCCTATTATAGCTTTGAAACTTTGAAACTGATCTGTCAATCGACCATAGCATGCTATAATATTTCTGTCCTAAATTCGAAAATCGGATCAATCTATGAATTGAAGTCAAATTATTAATGTAAAAATCGTTAAATTAAAATAACAATTTACTGATTTTTACTATTTTGCAAAATACAGGGTGTTCTATAAATAAACGGTAATATTTATGCTTATATAATAGAATATAGTTCAGGTCGTCAATGCCGTATAATCTATTTCATTTATGACATACCATGACGTCACTTGCTTTTCCTCCCTGCAATGAGGCCAGGAAATGTATACTTTGGATAGAGGTAGGCGGAAAAATTTATTTATTTCTTAATAAACAACTTCTATAATGTAACGACATATTAGAATAAATAGACGGAAAATAGTTTACAATATTTGTTAACTTCAAAGGTTCTTTTGATTTGAGTCTTTTATTTAAATGTTTTATTTGAAAGCTCTACTACCTAGCTACGTTTAAACCCTTATTTCGTTTAGGGAACACATAATCCTAGACGCGGTAATATATAAGAAAAAACTCACTTACATATATATCTGATTAGAATGTATGTGAACTTTATCCATACAAAACTGCACCATCCAAAAAGTCTGCAACGGATCTTTCTCCTTTTCTTCCTTGGAAATAGCTATTACCTCTTTAAAGTAACTAGTTCTATTCGACCAATCTATTGCAAGGTATTCGTCTGTTTTATTTGATCTAATATGAACGTTTTTCAACACTGGACAGACTATGTAATCCTTATCATCTTGCAAAGTAACACCTTCTTCACTGCTACTGCTATGACTACTATCAATATTATCATCGATTTTTTTATCCTCACATTTCACATTTTCTGGATAGTCGCAATAATATTTGGTCGGTGAGAAAAGAAAGTTGCCAGGACAAACTTCTTCTACCACTGTGTCATCGAAACAATTGACGTACGTTTTACATAATGTGCCAGGAAATTGACCTCTTGGTTTTAGACACAATTTCTTTAGACGGGATGCTTCATCTGAAATGGTAAATTTATTAAACAGAATTTTACTACTTATGTTAGCCAACCTAAAGGGCACTGATAAAACTGGCTCAATTGAGTACGCCATCGTTCTACAATTCCTATATTCGTACGCAGCCACAGCGTTTTACAACGTTTAGACTGCAGGATTGATAAACAAAATGTTTGTGAATAACGAACCGATGCACATAGTAATACTAATCCATTCATATTTACACGACTAATAATTTAAGATTGAAATCAACAACACAATAATTACTAGATCATACAAAGCGGTAACTGGGATACTCCAAGGTTTATCAGTTTTGCAGCATTTGTATACTATTATGACCCATGGCGTATTCATAGGGATTAACGAATGATGATACTGGTTTATACAAATCATCTGATTCTGCAAACAATGCCAAGAGAAGACGAAACGTTCCACATAAGCAAAACAAAACTACAGTTATTGTCAAACGATCAAAATAATCAAAAATCTTAAAATACTAGGGCTGTTTTCTTTTCAACCTCCGATAGGCTATAGAGGAAAGATGGGTGAATATAAAAAAATATATTATTGCCAAAAGTAATGTAGAGTAAAGGTTTCTTCTCTACATAATCACCTTGACGATTAAGGCACTTATCATATCTGTGCAGAAGCTTTACAATACCCTCTTCATAAAATGTTGACACCAATGACTTGAAGTAAATTGTGATGGTTTCTTTGAGTTCCTCGTCAGTTTGGAAGCTCTTCTTCCCCAAGTTACTTCTTCAGTTCAGGAAAAAGATGGTAGTCACTTGACGCTAGGTCGGAACTATGTGGTGGATGTTCAAAAAGGTTTCATTTAAATTGCTTAAGGAGCTGTTGGGTTGCATGAGCACTATAAGGATGGGCATTTTTATGGATGAAAACAATCCCAGAAGTCAGCTCTTCGTAAGCTCTTTCTATAAACTTAATTCATTCTTTAATGAATTTCCGCTGCAATATTCCCTTCTGCCTGCAAGAAACGGATATCACTTCACAATTCACATTTGGCGGGAGAATTAATATAGACAGCCATCTTAACGTGACTGCAGCTCCACAATAAATGGAGCGTTGGACTCGGCAATGACAGAGAGTGTGGAACGGAAGAGGCGCAGTTGCCTACTACGCACGCCAGCTACCTACCGCATACTGTGCGATCGGTGGTTGAAAAAAAAAACAGCCCTCGTAAATGAACGACTAGTCAATGTCAAAGAAAATATAAAATATTTTGGGATTTGGCGTAGTAAGAGATTAGTCATTGGGTGGCCAATACCACCAAAACATCTTTCTTAGGCTGCCACTGTGGTGCAACAGGTACTCAAGAAAAGCAAACTTGTATGACATTGCAAAAATTATCCCTATTAAAGAGCACATACTAGATATTTCGAATAAATTTTTTAAACACTGTCTCCTAACAACACCAAGGATAACATTTACAATGCAGCAGAAGATACATGGTGGACTATGAATCAACAATGAACAATTTTAAATTTACATAAACCAAATTAAAAGCATTCCTAACAGTCCCTTGTTGCAAGCATTGTTTCTGGTTATAATTCGGATTTTACTCAACATAAGGCTCTAAAACGCACAAAGGACATTGAAAATTACATTAAGGAAGTGTGTTTACATTTTAAGTGCCAATTATTATCTGTTTAATGTCTTTTTGAGGTTTCAAATAATATTGTAGCTGCAGATGATTTACAGGAAAGTAAATAATTTATTTTGCAGTATGACAACGGTGATCATTAAAAATAGTTGTGTACGAACTTGTTTATTTATAAAACACGTGCTTGCAGAAATCATCCCCTTTCTATTTAGTGGGCATCCCCAGCAGTACAAAACGATTGACCGCCATTTTTGTTAAGCACATCTTTTGCCAGCAGACCATCGCCAGCAGACCATCGCCAGCATGCAGTATATGTTCGCTAGGTAACCCCCACCCTTATATAAAGTGATGATGAAGATGTAAATTTTAATTAGCAATAATATAATAAAGCAATGTTGCCATGGATAGAAAAAATTCCCTAAATCTGGGGAAAATCTACAATCAGTAAGGGAAAAAGTAAAATTTTCTACAATTTAGGAAATTTTTAAACTTAAGACTTAAGAAATTATTAGAAAATGATATAACCTTATAATATTATTTCTGTTGAATAAAAAAATAAATTATAAGTGGCTTGATTTTTTTTGTAAAAAAAAATATTATTAATAAATAGTAATATGTTCTATTTTGAAAAATTTTCTTCTTCATTTCCAATTTAGATCTGGGAAAATTCTGGGAAATTGTTGAGAAATTATCTAGGGAATGGCGAATTTTGGACTTGCAACACAAATAAAGTTTAATTGAGAAAGTTAATGCTAATTGATATACTGTAATTGTTTTGGCGAAAGTTATAGCTGAAATCAGCTAAAATAACGTAAAGAAGCGAAGCATTCCTAATCATGACAATGCAGACACTTAATCAGCACAAAGAAATGTTTTCGACTTGTAAGATTTAAAAAATATGATTTCCTGACTATAAAATTTTCGTGCAATCATAAATTTTTCCTTTATAAACAATATTTTAATATTTTTAAATACTATTATAGTGAGGAATGTTATTTTGATATACCAGTTATTTCTTCTTTGTCTCCACAATCAACATTTTTGGGATAGTCACAATGAGTTTTAGTTGGTGAAAAATATAATCCTTTTGGACAATTCTGTTCTGTAGCTTGGAAATTCGCACAGTTCACAAACTTTTCACAGGATGTGCCAGGAAATAAACCATTGGGTTTCAAACATAATTTACTTAATTCTGGATCTATAAAAATAAAAAAAAGCTTTAAAAACTACATTTTTTAACACGTTGACGGATACTGCGCCGCTAGTGTCATAATGAGTTGGGACAGTGAGCATATTTGGCAAAGTAAGATACAAAAGTTGCTAAATTTCATTAACCTACTGTAGAGGAAGACTTTATGATTCGATGATAGTAACGAATATTTCCACATATTATATGTGATGACACTATACCTTAAAGAATATGATATTTATATCTGCGAGCCCACGTCTACCGACATTTTAACTATGCTTTAAATAACGTCTATGGACGTTGTGACACAACACATATACAAAAAATAGACTTCCATCAACGTGTTTATAATTTTTTATTATTAAATCAAAACTATTGGAATCTAGCTATATTTAATGTTTTAGGTATTTATTCTATTTAATAAATGTTGATATTTGTAAAAAATATTCTACAGGCCGTTCATTTAGTTTACACCGATATTCACTTAAGAGGAATAAATCTGACATGACCCAATAAAAAAAATCAGAAAGAAAGAAAATATTATAGGTTAATTAGTTCTGCAGAAGAGTCAAAAATGTTAAAAATATTTTTAAGGCTGGGCGTGGGTTATGTATTTAATATAGATATACACAACGTTCTCTCAGTGACTTTTTAGCCAAAACTACAAGGAGAAATTTTAAAAAATTCCTGCCGATAATAGATATATAATAGTGTATGTTGTCTCTAATTGTTAGGGATCGTTTAATAATAATTCCAAAAATACGGTAATTTTTACGATAAAATAAAGATAATATGATACAAGTAATAATAACCCGATGATGAAAATAATTCTTCTTCAAATAGGTTATATATTAAAGCAACAAATGTCTTTTAAAAATCTAAATTAAATACGTCACTTTTCTTAGTTTCCTCAAAAGACATTTATGTGTAACCAAAGCTCCTCTATTTACCTTTAAACCCTGTTATACATTGCAAAGAAACGTAGCGCGTAGCGATTTCGTAAAATAACCGACATGCGTTGCCTGGTGCGATGTTGGCAGGCTGTGTAGTTTATCCCTTTCATATTTACAAGAAGGTTTCTTCTATTAACTCATTAATAGCAACAAGTTTTATTAATTAGAATAGTTTCGAGATATATAGCGACACATTAAGCGTCCCCATCAATTCATTTTCGTACCTAGTGCAGTGTTTTCCACTCTTTCCCACGCATTGTGGGCAGAGTTATTTCAATATTTCCCAAAACATTTCTAAAAGTAAGTCTCTAACTCAAACGATTTGTAACAAGACAAAAAACGTATAAAATGTGTACAAAGTACATTAAGTCTTATGTCCTTCGTACTTAAGACTTTGGAAAAACTGCTAGATAGGCATATTAGAGACAAGATATTGGTTCAAAGGCCAATATAGCAAGACCAATACGCCTATAGTGCAGGGAAATCAACAGAAACAGCTCTCCATCAACTAATAAAAAGGGTGGAGAACACACTGGAAAACAAGGAGGTAATGCTGGGAGCATTCTTGGATATCGAGGGTGCATTCGACAATACCTCGTTGAATCGATCATTAGATCTCTCAAACACAGAGGAATCGAGGACACATGCCTGTCCTGGATCGACTCTATGTTAAGGGAGAGAACTATACACACAACCTTTATGGGAGAGACAACAGCGGTACGGGTAGCGAGAGGATGTCCACAGGGTGGAGTGCTGTCTCCACTCCTGTGGAACCTTGTAGTGGACGGGCTGCTTAGGGCTCTCAAAGATAAGGGACATAGAACCCTGGCATATGCCGATGATCTAGTGATCATGGCACAGGGAAAATACAACACTATAGTAAGAGATCGAATGCAAGAGGCTCTAAATATAGTAACAAAATAGACAGAGGCGGAAGGACTAAACATTAGCCCAAACAAATCTGACATAATTGCATTCACCCGCAGAAAGAAATTGGAGGGACTAGGGCCTCTAAACCTAAGAGGTGCAAGCATCCAGCTTAAGGGGGAGGTAAAATATCTCGGGGTTATGATTGACTCGAGACTTACCTGGAACCAGCATCTAGAAAGAACCACAAGGAGAGCGGAAACCTCATTAATGATGGCAATCCTTTGGAAAAAAATGGGGGTTAAAACCAGACATGGTATATTGGATTTATAACATAGTGGTAAGACCCATAATAACATACGCAGCTTTGGTGTGGTGGCCAAAGACACAGCAAAGGAAAGCAATAACGAGGCTTAGCAAGGTACAAAGACTTGCCTGCCTCGGAATAACAGGGGCAATGAAAACAGCCCCCACTGCTGCAATGGAAGCACTAATAGGACTCCCACCTCTTCACTATGTGATACAAGGGGAGGCAAGATTAGGTGCTTACAGATTAGGGAATACACTGGGAAATCTTGACATTAGGCCAGGTCACATGAGTATCTCAAGGTTAGTGACAGGAGACGTGCTAGACATGAGATCAGACCACTTAACCAAGAGGTACTGTTTTAATACTCCCTTTGAGGTTATAATACAGGAAAGAGCGGAGATCACCATAAGGGAGCCCAATGCCCAACGACAGGAACAAACCTAGTATACAGACGGGTCTAAGACTGCGGAAGGCACTGGGGCAGGAGTATTCTCCAAAAACCCTGATACTTACCATAGCTATGCTATAGGAATACATTCCTCGGTATTTCAGGCCGAGGTATACGCAATTTTGCAATGTTCAAAAACGAACAATGAAAGAGCTGTCGAAAATCAGCATATTCAAATAATGTCAGACAGCCAAGCGGTACTTAAGGCCATATCGAGTCAGAAAGTTACGTCGAGGCTGGTATGGGAATGCATCGAAAAACTAAGAACACTGGCAGACCGTAATAGAGTAAAACTATTTTGGGTGCCAGGTCACAAAGGGATCGAAGGCAACGAAAAGGCTGACGAACTTGCAAAAAGAGGGTCAGAAGAAACACCGGAATCAGACACAAACCCAGGAGTACCAAAAAGTACAGTCCAGGGTTTTATAAATGACTGGATTCGGGAACAACATATCAACTATTGGGGAAGCACCCCAAAACAAGCACATGGAATAGCCTTCATAGGCAGACCATGTCCCAAATGAACTGGAGAACTACTCTTAATGAATAGGAACCAGTTGAAAGTGATAAAAGGGTTCATGACTGGGCACGCCCCAGTAAAGGGACACTTCAACAAAATTGGCATGTACAATGGGGAACTCATGTGCCGACTATGTCACAAGAAACCAGAAACGGCCGAATGCGAAGCTCTAGATCGCAAAAGACAGGCTCTTTTTGGACAACCCCAGGTTGATCCAACAACGTATAGAACCCACTCACCCAAGGATCTGTACAAACTTGTACAAGGTACAAAGGTGATAGAGTGGGTGCTATGAACTAACATGGGGTAAAACACAATAAGCCAATAGGCTTTAGTGTTATTCGGAGACACTTAGTCAGACGAGCCCAGGAGAGAAAAAAAAAGTACCTATTTTTAGATTATTATGCAGGGCATTTTTGTACCTATCGTTTTTACATACATACGCCTGCTAAATAACAACTTTGCAAATACTAAGTTAAACTATGGTAAACACCATTAATAGGCCTGCAAATAAATCCTACTATTTCAAAAGCATTAAAAGTGACACCACCGCAATTGAAAATAATCAAGCTCACTCGGACCAGTTAAAAGTTCCAAAATAACATCCACTCCAGGGATACAAATTCAGGATACGCAGACTGCTGTTTTATTATAGGCAGTTGTCATATATTGTATTATCCGAGTTGCGCAGTGTATAAACTGGAACATTGAGGTCAAAAGTACCGATCTGATTCTTAAGCTATAAACTGTGGCATAGGAATCAAATTGGCCGCGCCCTATGTTGGGCGTGTCGGACATCTCTCTTGCACCGTATAGTAATCAAAGTATGTGGCTATAACTTATTAGAAGGTGCTTTTGAAGAAAGGTATGTTAGGTTAGATTTAAAATGTATTTTATGAGAAATGGTAAGTGTATTTTGAGGAGGGGTGTCATTTAGTAGGTAATTTGAAGATATAATACTGTGAAATTAAAGGAAAGCAGCAGTGTTTTACATTTTAGTAAAGTCTAAAAATTATTGTTTATTTTTAGGTCATGAATTTAGCGACGAAGAGCCTTTTCAAGATTCTGGATCGGAGTACGTACCATTTGAATCGGGAAATGGCATGCTTGAACAACAAAATGACTGGACAAGGTCTGACAGTAAAGCTGAATTAGAAAAAGGAAACGAAATGCTGGCGAAGAATATATAAATAGACTTGAAAGAGTTGTTTCGGCCAAAACTTTTCAAGAAATAAGGAATTGTTGCAAAAATAATTGTTGGGAAAAAAATCATCCAAATCTGCCTATATTTTTGCTCTTGTTGAAGTTGTTAATAAACTCAGAACGTATACCGAAAGGGCCAAAGCTTCTAGATGTGAAAAAACTCGTATTTATTTTTTACATAATGAAGGTGGTGAAAAAATCAAGGTCTGTAAGGACTTTTTTAAGAAAGTGCTTCAAGTTTCCGACGACAGAATTAATCGGGTATTAGCCAATAAGAAAGAAGGATTAGCTGCACCAGTAGATAGAAGGGGCAAGAGACCAGCTATAAACAAAACTCCGGATGAAAAGATCAATAAACTTAAACAATTTATTGAAAAATTACCGGCATGAAATCTTCTGTTTTCGCCAACTTAACAAATGTTGTTCTTAATTTATTAAGTTTGCCTTATTTTTCAGCAAATGGTCATTAGGTTTTTATCAAAAATGCAAAAAAGAATTTATAGGGCATCATAAAAAGAACATGCATGCCAAACACAACGTATTTGAATTATCTGATTCAGACTGATTGAAAAGAAGTAGGTACCTATTATTTTTCAATGGTTTCTTTTTTTGTTTCCGTACCTTAAGTATATATTAAAAATGTTATTATTTGTTTTTATTTGTTTTTATTCTTTGTTTGGGTAGAAAAAAAGTTTGTTTTTCGTTTCT